ACAAATGGTGCTGGGAGAACTGGACAGCAACATGCACAAGGATGAAACTAGACCACTTTCTTACACCATTCACAAAAATAAACTCAAAATGGATGAAGGACCTGAATGTGAGACAGGAAACCATCAAAACCCTAGAGGAGAAAGCAGGAAAAAACCTCTCTGACCTCAGCCGCAGCAATTTCTTATTTGACACATCCCTAAAGGCAAGGGAATTAAAAGCAAAAATGAACTATTGAGACTTCATCAAGATAAAAAGTTTCTGCACAGCAAAGGAAACAATCAACAAAACTAAAAGGCAACCGACAGAATGGGAAAAGATATTTGCAAATGACATATCAGACAAAGGGCTAGTATCCGAAATCTATAGAGAACTCGTCAAACTCCACACCCGAAAAACAAATAATCTAGTGAAGTAATGAGCAGAAGACATGAGTAGACACTTCTCTAAAGAAGACATCTGGATGGCCAATAGGCACATGAAAAGATGCTCAAGTCACTCCTCATCAGGGAAATACAAATCAAAACCACACTGAGATATCACCTCATGCCAGTCAGAGTGGCTAAAATGAACAAATCAGGAGACTATAGATGCTGGCGAGGATGTGGAGAAACAGGAACCCTCTTGCACTGTTGGTGGGAATGCACACTGATGCAGCCGCTCTGGAAAACAGTGTGGAGGTTCCTCAAAAAATTAAAAATAGATCTACCCTATGACCCAGCTGTAGCACTGCTAGGAATTTACCCAAGGGATACAGGAGTGCTGATGCATAGGGGCACTTGTACCCCAATGTTTATAGCTGCACTTTCAACAATAGCCAAATTATGGAAAGAGCCTAAATGTCCATCAGCTGATGAATACATGAAGAAATTGTGGTTTATATACACAATGGAATAGTACGTGGCAATGAGAATGAAATATGGCCTTTTGTAGCAACGTGGATGGAAGTGGAGAGTGTTATGCTAAGTGAAATAAGTCATACAGAAAAAGACAGATACCATATGTTTCACTCTTATGTGGATGCTGAGAAACTTAACAGAAGACCATGGGGGAGGGAATGGAAGAAAAAAAAAGTTAGAGAGGGAGGGAGTCAAAACATAAGAGACTCTTAAAAACTGAGAACAAACTGAGGGTTGATGGGGGGTGGGAGGGAGGGGAGGGTGGGTGATGGGCATTGAGGAGGGCACCTGTTGGGATGAGCCCTGGGTGTTGTATGGAAACCAATTTGACAATAAATTTCATATTTAAAAATAAATAAAAATTTTAAAAAAATGTGTCTTAAAATAGAACTACCAGTATAAAAAATGAGAGCAAGGTAAAGAAAATCAGGGGTACTAGGCAACACTTGCAAATATGGTCTTCGGGTCATCTTTGATTTGGTCCCATTGGAACAAGGAATTGATATTACATTCATGGTGGGAGCAAGTCCAGAAGTTTCAATGTGAAGTATTTACTTGCAAAAATTTGTCCTCAGGCTCTTTGTAGCAGTCATCTGTCAGAGTGAACCAGAAAAGAGGCAATAATAATGTTTGCTCATGACACTGTCCTGTGAGGCACCTTGAAGAATCTGATGTCAGGCCTCTGTATTTTAGTATGTCATTTTGTCCAAAAAAATATAAAATAAATCATTTGAGGTAGTGCAGGGTCATCACTGGACTTTTCACCATCCCAGTCATAAAGAGTGAGCCACAAACCCTTAAGTTTTTGATCTCTTGGAGAAACCACACAGTACAGTATAGACATTACAATCAAAGACTCTGGAACCAAATGGCCTGAGTTTAAATCCATGCTCTGTCTCTTACTGGGTATGTGGCTTTCATTTAGTCATTTAACCTCTCTGTGCCTCAGATTGTTTATCTGTAAACTGGGCATAAAACAGCATCATTCTGATAGTTGTTTTTAGGATCAAATACGTATACAATTCTTGGAAAAGTACGTGGAAAATAAATGCTGGGTATGTTTCTTGCTATTCTTACTATTTACTTGAAAGCCATTTTTCTGTGGGGTCAAGCTGTCAACCCTTTGACAGAAAGTAACTCAGGAGGAATACATAAGGAATCTTCCCTTGGCTGGAATGACTCAAATGCTGGGAAGCTCTTGTGGGGTGCTGAAGAAGTGAGTAGAAATTGAGAAAAGGACTTTCTAGGAATGAGAGAAGAACTTTGGAGAAGGAAGAAAGAGAGCAAGACAGGCTTAAGAGGCAGAGGTTATGTTGGAGATCTGAGGAGTCCAGGCAAGTGACAAATGAGGCTGTAACTGCTTTCGGGTCAAGGGCAATTCTAAGAACTTAGTATCTCTCAAAGTTGAAGAGCAGCGGCTGGCCCACTGAGATCATGCTGAAACTCATAGGGCACTTCCGGGTGGTGCCTCTATCTGCCTTTCCAACCCAGTCTTTTGCTCCTCCTTCTTTCTTGTTTATGTCCCGTCACCGTGAAACATCTCTAGGCTCAGAATGGCGATGATTGTTTAGCCTCACTATTTTGCATTTTTAAAAATAATAATCCCCATCCACTCTTTCTTTTAAAATACTTACACACATATCAAGACTCAGCTCATCTAGTGCCTTCTCTGTAAAATCTTTACCTACCATCCCTAATGGCCATTGATAAGCATTTAATTTTCATGAATTTTGTAATAATGTTTTTGTACAATGACCTTGTTACCATTTAAAAATAATGATTCAACTGCATTTTATGTCTTCTACTAGACTAGAAATGCATTAGTGTTCTTGTATTCATTTATATTTTTCGGTGCATAACATGGAGTCAGTCACATAGAAGGTATCCAGAAAACCTTGTTGGCTGATTTTGATGACATGTTTGGGAGATAAAATAAAATTGATTTTCTACGGCCTATATAATTGGAAATATTTCTCCTCAAACTACGATGTTCAGAAGGAATCAGAGTTGAAACACATAGGTTATAATAATAACAACAATCTCAGTATAACTTATTAAGTAGTTAGTATATATTAGAAATTATACTGAAGTTTTGTTTTTGTTTTTGGTTTTTTGTTTTTTACATTAGAGCATTTAACCAGACAGATAAATCTTTGTGGCATGTTTTTCCCCCAATCAATAAAAAGTATAGAAGCTGAAATTTAGAGAGATTAAAATAGCCTGTTAAAGTCTAATGACTAGAAATTAAGACACAAGATTTAAATTTTGGGACTATCTGAATACAAAATTCATGTTTCCCCCAACTCTTCCCTACCAACTTTTCTTCTTTCCATACTGCATAAATTTTTATCACACCTCTTCTTTCTTTCACTTACGATTCCTCTTGTGCATCCTTGGCCAGAGCCTAGCTTCTGAGCACCCTGAGGCAAGGGGTGGTCTCATCTTCATGAAAACTAAGGTATGGCAAATAATATGACCTAAATAAGTTTCTCAAAAAATTAATGAATTAGTGAATGAATTATAACACATACTAGCAATTAATTCATTGCTTTTGTCTGTTTTGCTGAAAGATCAAAATTATATATCATAAGCACATCCTAAATGGAGGTTGAACTGTTGAAATGGGGGAAAAAATAACTCCTAGACATGTCTTGAATAAAATATAGGGTATTTTTAAAAAATCATTTATCCAGGGGTGCCTGGGATTCAGTCGGTTAAGTGTCCGACTTTGGCTCAGGTCATGATCTCATAGTCTGTGAGTTCGAGCCCCGCGTCGGGCTCTGTGCTGACAGCTCAGAGCCTGGAGCCTGTTTCAGATTCTGTGTTTCCCTCTCTCTCTGATCCTCCCCTGTTTGTGCTCTGTCTCTCTATGTCTCAAAAATAAATAAATGTTAAAAAAATTTTTAAATCATTTATCCAATAATTAAAATTGGATTTACCCAATTTTAGATGAGAGAAAACATCTAAATCCAGCTTGTCTTTAAAATACTGGAGGATATTGCAACACTGGGCCTATTACCCATGGCAATAACATGCTTCATTTGTGTAAATTTGTTCTTTACAGAGAGCACATCCTTGCTCCCCCTCACTCCCCATAGCCTCCACTTCTCTCACACAATAGAACTTTGACACCAGATCTGCATCAGTCATCTTACTACCTGCCAGTTCTCACTAGACATGAGTCTGTAAACCCTATGTAAAACATAAAACTTGTAAAGAATGGGTATATAATTTTTTATTCTACATTCTCTTCCTTGACAGATCTTTACAGGAGAAATGTTTCATAGTATATATTTGCAAAGCCTTCAGAGAATCTACGTATTAGAGGGACTCATGTGTTTAATACCATTTTAGTCACTTTTTTTATCCCCCCCCACCCACTAAACAATATGTCTATTTTCCAATTCATTTGTCTTGAGTAAAGACAACCTTGTCTCCAAGTAAAAACTTGAACACACCTTCTCGGATCTGCTTGGTCTTGACTCCATAAACAATAGGATTCATTGTAGGAGGTAGGAGCAGGTAAAGGTTGGCTACAATGATGTGAATGTGGTGGGGGATATTGTGTCCTCCAAAACGGTGGGCAAAAAAAGTGAAAAAAGCTGGAACATAAGTGATCACAATGGCACATATGTGGGATGTACAGGTGCTAAAGGCTTTGTGACGAGCATCTGCAGATGACAGGCTCACTACTGCTCTCAATATCATAGTGTAAGACACAGAAATACAGCAGATGTCAAACACACCAATAAGGAGAGCAACCATCAGACCATAGACAGCATTGACCTTGAAATTGCCACAGGACACCTTGGCCACAGACATATGATCACAGTAGGTATGGGGAATGAAGTTGCCCCGGCAATAGGGCAGACGCTTGGTGAGGAAAGTGAATGGGATAATGAGCAGCACACCCCTCAGGAAGGTGGCAAGACCGGTCTTGGCGATGACAGGGTTGGTGAGGATGATGGAATAACGTAAGGGGTAGCAGATGGCCACATAGCGGTCCAGGGCCATGAGCATGAGCACCCCAGACTCCATCCCAGTCAGCATGTGGACGAAAAACATCTGAGCCAGGCAGGCATCAAAGTCAATCTCCTTGAGGTTGAACCAGAATATGCACAGCATATTGGGTACAGTGGTGGTGCACAGGGTGACATCTGTGAAGGCGAGCAGGGCCAGGAAGTAGTACATGGGCCGGTGCAGGGCATCCTCACGGCTGATTAGGTAGATGAGCCCGCAGTTCCCCACGACAGCGATGACGTACATGAAGCAGAATGGCAGGGAGATCCAGGTGTGTGCAGCTTCCAGCCCAGGAATCCCTTTCAAGATAAAGAATCCCGGGGTCAGGCTGGAGCTGTTTTCCCCACACATGACTGTGGAGAAGAGGAGAGCATTTTATGCTCTTTATCAGCATTTGCTTTCTGCATAGGAGAGAGAGAGGTGGGCTTAGAAACCACATAAGAGGGAGTAGTTCAGGTAATAATACTCACAAATGCCATGAACCTTGTCATGGTAGCAGCTTGTTATTTTTTTCCTCTACTCTAGCAAGACAGTCTTTGAACGGTGGTGTCTAAAAATAACTAAACAGTACTACTTGGCGTCTCATTGAATATTTTGTCTAAGTATCTACCCTCACTTTCTAAAGTTCCAGCACACCTCTTATATTCCTCCACATTCTGTGAACTGGGCCATAATTGTCTTCCAATATGCCACTTTTATTCTCTCCTCTCAGATTCTTTCTGAGTCTTGTCACTATGATCATGTGAGTATGTTTCGAGGATCACCCTAATCCGACTAGTTCTTATCAACAGGACTTTTGTCCTGCCTTGAAGATTATGAAGAAAGCTAATAATCCAGGTAAAGTCTTCCCATAATGTTCCCTATAACTTGCTTAAGGGAACACATTTTAGATACTCAATAAAAATATATGTGAACAAATGATTGTTTGAATTAGTAAGAACTTAGTATCTGATATCAATATCATGCTTTTCTACACAATGAAATTTCAAAGGAAGTTCTTGAGAAGAACAAAAGTACTTCTGCTTCTAACTCATTAGCAAGTTTCATGGAATTTTTGTAAAAATTTTACTAAAGAGATGAATTCAGTCAGATACCCCCAACTTCATAAATGGCTTCTCTGCTTTTCCGCATTTTCTTAAATTAGTTTCCAAGCCATTTTTAATACAAGCTTTATATTTAGGAAGCCCTTGAAGTTCTAAGGATTACTAATTGTCTATAATGCTTAATGTAGATAGTATTTCTTTTATTATAACTAGACAGTTTATCAGTAAAAGAGATAATATCATATTTTTGGATTGCTAATACTTGTAAAGAAAATAGAACTGAGGGATGGTTCAAGGAATTTACAGATTCAGGGATGTTTGAGGAAAGTTGTAGTTACCAAATGGTCAACTATTTCTCTCCATTGAAAAAAATAAAATGGTCCTTAAGCTCTGGGTGGGCACCTTTCCATGCAGCAAATCAATGCCGAACAATCCCCCATCCAGCAGGACTGTGTAGAAACTTGCAATACGATGACATGTAGCACATGGCTCTAAAGACACAAGACAGAGATTCCTGTTACCTAAATCATCTGGAAATCACTCTTGTGTCCACTCCTATTGGCCAGGGTACATAGAAGTCACCACGGAAAGAGTATACAAAAGAATACAAGGTTCACTGGCTCATGGTCTTTGGCTCCTAAGGTGATTGCCTCTCATGTAAATAAACTCTTCTCGTAAGAGAGTTCTCCCAGACCTCTCCAGAAATGTCCCCCCATGGAGGAACCAGCATTTCATTGCCCTAGACCAGAGAAATGTAAAGATTACAATCTCCCGTGTCTGCTGTCTTTTATGTGAACGCCACAATAAAATGAGTGGGTGACTGGAAAGCAAGAGTCCAGCAGAAGCCACACAGAAAGAAAGAGTCTCATTACCCCTGCAGAAGTGAAAGGGAAAGAGGAATTCACTGCCCCTTGCTAATGTCTATTTTTAAAACTGTTTGCATATTCTAGGCCATTGTGTTCTTACCCATCAATGTTGTTACCTTTCCTAAAATAACCATTTGTGAAAATTTCCCAAACTCACCTCAGTGTTAGGCACAATTCTATTCATGGCTGAGAATACTTAGGAGTTCCTCAAAATCTGGGATGACATCTTCTTACATAGGATTTTTGTTTCCCTGGAGAATCTCCAGTGAGATGTCCCGGGTAGACCGAGGCTCCAGAATTAGATGTCTCAGAGGGATTCTCATTGAAAGAGAATAAACTTCTGGCCTGGTGGTAACAAATCTATATTTAGAAGCTTCTGAGTAGAAAAGGGAACAACAAAAACAAAACGCAGTAAAGTTAATGCCTTTTCCCAAGTGAGAAATGTGACCACCAAATGTGGTGATGAACATCAGTAACTTTTTTTTCCCTCAGGGCACTTGTGTGGTGCAGTGGGTTAAATGTCAGCCTCTTGATTTCTGCTGAGGTCATGATCTCCTGGTCCATGAGTTGGAGCCCCACATCGGGCCACGCTGACAAAGTGGAGCCTGGTTGGGATTCTCCCCCTCTCTTTCTACCCCTCCCCTGCTCAAGTTTGCTTGCTCTCTCTCTGTCTCTCTCAAAAGACATAAATAAACTTAAAACCTGTTTTTCTCTTATTACTAAAGAAATACGTCCTTTATGTAGAAACTCTGGAAAACACAGAAAAGTATTAAAAAGTTAGAAAATCACTTGTAAATCCAAATACAGAGGAATAACCACCCTAAAAAGTTTTCTATACCTCAGGAGTGCCCGGCTGGCTCGATTGGTAGATCATGCTGCTCTGGATCTCGGGGTTGTGAGTTTGAACCCCACCTTGGGTATAGAGATTACTCAAAAATAAAATCTTAAAAAAATAAAAAGTTTGTGTACTTCATTTACTCATTTTATAGTTATTATGTGTAATGTTCAATAACTATATACTTGTAATATAACAATTAATATAGATGTTAGTCTAAATGAAGTGCCTATACTTGTAGTAATAAGACGTGGAGAATGTTGCACCCCTCCTCCACATCTGTCCTTTTCCTTTCCTTAAAATCATCGCTGCTTGTTCTTTTGCATTGTACCATGTCTTCCTGTACAATATTCAGAGTGTGATCAGCTCTCCTCCTTTCCCTTCTATTCCGCCCCTTCTCTCTCTCTC